AAACAAAACAAGACAAAACCAAACCAAGCCCATCCTGACTCTGCCCCACTGCACCTCAACTTGTCATTCTTTCTAGAGACTAATAACATCAGACTTTTCTCCATGCCTGGATCCTTTTAAATGCACAGCTCTTTTCTCTTCCTCCCTCCCTCTCTCCGTCCCTCCGTCCCTCCCTCCCTCCGTCCCTCCCTCCCTTCCTTCCTTCCTTCCTTTTACCCAGATCTTGCCATGTAGCCCCAGATGGTCTTGAATTCTTGATCCGCCTGCCTCAGCTTCCTGGGTGCTTGTTTTACAGGAGTGTACCACCATTCCTGACAAAGGCACAAGTCTAACCAATAATATTGAGGGGAACTACAGAGAAGTGGCAGCCTGGTCATGCAGTAGTAGTAATAGTAGTAATAAATCCTTATATGCAACACTCTAAGGACTGTTCCCATCACAGTTATTATTTAAATCTTACAATAACCACATAAGGTAGAAGATACTTTTATTTTTCCCAATTCATAGATGAGAAAACTGAGGCCCGGCAAGGTAAACTAATTTGACCAACGTGGTATTCTGATGGAGGCACTGTACGGCCACCCTATTTCATAACTGATAAGAGCGATATCTAAGTAGGTGGAGGATACGGTCTCATAGCAATGGGCAGTGTCAGACAGAAAGCTGAGAGGACACAGTGCTTTCCTAGAAGAGCTTATTAAGGTTATGACAGAAACACAGAAGCACGTATAAGGGAGCATATTTATAACCTTACTTAATCCCCGGACTTGAAAAGTAGGCATTTTAGTGTATATAACACCCGTTTTGCAGAGGTTCGGAGGGGGTCCAGACCCTGTCCACCTCCTGCGGTGGAGAAGCTCCATATTATTGGATATATGAATGCAGCTTCTCTGGGCTTGAGTTTTCACACTTATAATCTCTCTCCTAGGTACCTGCGCCAGGATAATCTTGTTGACCAAGAGAATTTTCTTTAATCCTCACAACAATCTGCATGGTAGGAAAGAATTGTCCCCTGGCTATAGGCAGGGGCACACGATTAGAGTTCAGGTCATTTTCTCCAGATAGCAAATGAGTAAGGGCCAAACGCACCACTTGGCGAGGCTCCATCGAGGGTCACTGTGAGCATCCCTTAGATAGAAACACCCCTCGCTCTAGCTACGCGCACGATCACCCTCACCCTCCAGTTTAACGCGGTTTTCCTTACCCTTCCCAAGCCTCCCGCAGACCGTGATGCCTCGGCCAAAAGCTCACAGCAAAAGCAACAAAAAAATTCTGACTCCCGGCCACTCTCGGCTCATCATCTACACTCACCTCAAAGAACCAACGTCGGTTGTCATGGGGACTGGGTCTCTGCTTCCGGAAGCCGACTTTAAACTCCGGAAGTAGATGGCTAATAGACCGCCATGTTTGGGCCTTCGCTCTCCTGGGCCTGCCCTCTGTCCGTTCCTCCCATCCCACCTCGTGAGGGTGGGCCCCAGGCGAGGGGGTGTTAAACCCAGCATTTCTCCTTCCTCAGGATGGGGGTGGGGTTAGAGACAAGGCAAACAGGATGCAGTGCTCCTAGGAATCCGGACAGAAACTGCCCTGGAAACGCGCCCCTTAGCACGCAAACTTCATTTCCCAGACGCCCTAGCGTACCATCAGAAATGCCCGAGCCTATAAAAGCTCAGGCAGCGCCCTCTGTAGCGAATCCCGCGGACTGCAGGCTTGCCGGAAAGTGAGTGTTTCAACCTCCTGGAGGAGCCTGGGGAGTGGCAGCGACCGGCGGGTCGCAGAGACCGGCGGGTCGCAGAGACCTGGCTCCCAGTTGTCGCACTGTGTAGTTAGGGGTGAGAAAGAGCCCGGGCTGGGAGAGCCCGGACATGGGTTCTAGTGGTGGTTCCGCTGCTTCCTTGCTTCGCGCTGTCATAACCCGGCATTCAGCCTGCTTTTCCTTTTAAGAATTGGACACTTTTCCGTTCCCCTTCCATACTGCAGGTGGTGTTTGTAGAGGCTTCGACGCTTTTCAGAAGGAAGGCATCTTATCTAAAACTTGCTAGGACCAAGCGGACCATAGGGGTCAGCATCATACTTCTTATGTCTTAATAGATCTGACCGTCCGAAGGACGAAGGAGCAGTCCGTGAGCACTTGTGCTAAAGTGGACTTTATTCACACTCCTGAGTTGAATATTATAGGTCGCTCACTCTCGAGTCCTACAATTTGGAGGAGCTGCCTTTGGAAATGAGTTCTGGGAACTGAGGACAGGACCTGGATGCCTGTACCAGGCTTACCACTTGCCTTGACCAAATCTCTGTCCTTTGGATCCCAACTTTGCTTTTGAATTGTAAGATATGGGTTAATAGGATTTGAACTCTAAATCTAGTTTCCAGGATTCTTAATGTTCCTCTGCCTTTGAGGAGAGAGCAGCAAACTCTGCCCCTTGGTCTGAAAGTTACTGTATTAGGAGTACAGCCTTTTCCTGAGAGGAAGGACTGAGTGGAAGATTCATTTCTTACCCTTGGGACTGATTCCGGTTTAGCTCAGCCTATGAAAATCCTTTAGCCAGATAATTGAGGAAAACATTACATAGAGATAGAGATTAGCTACACTTCTTAAACCAGGATAGGCCCACAGCTAACCCCGAGTGGCTTTTCCACATCTAAACTATTGGGGGTGGGGGACTGTATTCTGTGAAATGTGAAAATCGTATGAAACTTAGACATCAGTATCCATAAAGTGTTAATGAGGCACAGTCGTGGTCATTTGTGAGGATACTCTTCTTGGCCGCTCTGGTATTACACAAACCCAGAATGAATGACACAATTGTGGCAGAGACTTTATAAGCCCTCTAGAGCCTAAAGAGTTTGCTGGCTGCCCTCCTGAGGATGGGGCTTGGCAGAGTGAGGGCGGGAGACTCAGCTGTGGTGAGCATGTCTTGAAATCTTAGTCCAAACTTCTCTCTTAGTACAAATGCCCTTAATCTCAGCATTTGCATGTGTTCTTTCCCTTGCTGTTGCTATTTTAGGAAAGAGAAGGCTTATTTGTGATTTGTAGACAGCAATATGACTTTCTTGCCTTCTGTCACAAAACTGTCTCAATCATCCGTTCTAAGTCTGCCACAAAGTGGTAATCCAGAACTTGTAAGGGGATGCAGTCCCTTTTGAATGTTTTTTCCTTCCCTTTTCTTTTTTTCCTCAAATATTTTGGGGTGTGTGTGTGTGTGTGTGTGTGTGAATGTCACATGTGTGTGGGTGCCTGGGGAGTCTAGAAGTAGGTGTTTGGTCCCTTGGAGCTGTGGATGCTGGGAACTCGGCTCTGGTGCTCTACAAAACCAATATGCACTCTTAACTACTGAGCCTTCTCTTCTTATGCCCACCCCTGCCTTTTTTGTTTGTTTTTTTGTTTTCTGGAGCTAGGTTCTTATATAGCCTAGACTAGACTCAACTATATATATGTAGCTGAAGATGACCTAGAACTTCTGGTTCTTCTGCTTTCTACCTCTGGAATGCTGGGATTATAGGTATGAACCACCACTCTTAGTTTTAACTTTCCGTATAGAAGATATGTGGAGTTTATTACAAGGTAAAGTAGGGGCATCTTCAAGGGATGAAGTAAACAGTGTAAAGAAAGAACATTTTCTTAGAACACATTCTCAAGGGGGACCATTGTCTCCTTTTATCTTGTGTAAAAAAAATCAATAACCTGCAGAAATCAATATTGTCAGATGCCTGGAGCATTTCACTGGAAGAGTGAGGTTGTGCTAGGCAGACACTTGATAATCCCAAACCTCTTTTGCTCTTGCGTGAATCAAGGAAGCAGCTCTGAGGCTGGGTAACAAATCCCTGGACCCAGTAGCTCAGTCATGAAACTTGTTTGTTCCTTAGCCCTCATCCCTTTCTCAGAGATTGCTAGTAATGTGGGTCACCTTGTGAGAGACCAGCATCTGCTGCTGGTTGGATGAATAGCTGGCATGACGTGAGATGTAATTCAAGGCTACTGAGAGGCCTGGGCAGGCCTGGGGACCATGAACTTCAGGTTTTTGTTTGTTGGGGGAGCTGGTACTCACTATGTTGCTCAGGCAAGTGTTGAACTCCTCTACTCAAATGATCCTCCTGATTCAGCCTCTCAAGTAGCTAGTGGCATAGGTACCACCTTGCCTAGCTAGCTTTAGGTTTGGTTAGTGGTTAGGATAAAATCCTATGGTAGGGACTGAAGAGATAGCTCTGTGGTTAAAAATGCTTGCTGCTCTTGCACAGGACCTGAATTTTGTTTCTAGCACCCAAGTTGGTGGGTCCATAACTGACTGTAACTCTTAACTCCAGAGAACCCAACACCCTTTTTCTGGCTTTCTGGCTTCTATGGATGCCTGGACACACACACATAGCATTCTGTTTCTGTCTCTGTCTCTGTCTCTGTCTCTCTCTCTCTCTCAAATCCTATGATAGTAATAAATGTGAAGTTATAATACTTGACTCTCAATAAGGTCCTTACATTTTTTTGTCTTGAGCTTATAACCTATGGATAAGGAAAAAGGGTTTGAAGCTCCTGTGGACTTGCTGGGTCCTGGTGCTAGATACTTAGTACGTCTGGGCTTTAATTCTTCATGTATAGGGTTGGGATAGTCCTCACAGTGTTATCAAGAGGAGTAAGTGGGACCGTGGGCCAGTTTCTAGTGCTCGTAGCTGGTGTTCAATTACTGGTTTTTATTGCCATGCTTTTCTTTTAGGGTGTTTTCCTCAGGGTACTCAGACTGTGAAATCAGAGATCAGGCAGCCTTTTGCTGGGTCGAAGGGTGAGGATTTGGGTATTGTCCCACCTTGGGCATTATTGGCTGTTCTTTCTATTACATGGTCCAGAGAGATGGCCCTCAATACCATAAGGCCACATTATTACCTTCTTGGTGTGAGCCCTGGGTCATATATTTACTGGAAGCAGGGCTGAGTCCTGTGTCTTTGCCCACTTGCCTGGCTCTTTTTTTTTTTTTTTTTTTTAAGTGTATATATAGCACTGGGAATCTATCTCATGACTTGCTTATGCTAAACAAGCCCCTGTCACTGAGCTATGAATATAGCCCCTTGCCTAGTTTTTAAGAATAACTGCTTGTGACATAAATATTCACCAGAGAAAGCCTGAAAGCTGAGTTAGTTCCTGGTAGAAATCTAAAAATAATCACTTTCTAGACCATGAGTTCTTGCTTCCTCTTTTCTCCTCTGGACTTTCCCCTGAAAAGAGAAAGCAGAAGTAAGTCTCAGGTGTAGAACAGCCAAGGGGTGCCCTCAGTTCAAGGAGAGGAGTGGAGGGTTCTGGGGTCGAGGCCTGGCCCCATGGAGTTTATCTTCTGTAAGGAAGACCTTTGTATACAGAAGTGGAAGCACGTAGAGCCTTTTCACAGGTGACATAATGCTAGGGACCGAGCATCCCCAGCTAAAAGTATAAAAAAAACATATATATATATATATACATGTTTTCCTGTATATATGATGTTTGTGTACCACATGCATGTCTGTCCATGGAAACTAGAAGAAGGCATTAGATCCCCTGGAACTGGAGTTACAGATTGTTCGGAGCCACCATGTGGGTGTTGGGAATTGAACCTGGGTCTATAAGAGCAGCCAGGGATCTTATCTGCTGAGCCACTTCTGCAGTCCCCACACCCAGTCATTTTGTTGAAGGTGTACCCACCCTTGAATGTGTTTCCTTCCATTAGATTGTGGTTTTGCTGCCTTAGTTGGAACCCAGGGCCTGGGAATTTGAGATCTAGGCATTTAGGGTTTTGATTTGTCTCTTTACTGGGTTGGGTGTGGCAGTCATGTTTTACCTTCTAGTTCTGTGTGGGGAGGCCAATCAGTACCAAGGATGTGAGCCCAGAGCCTTTTCATATCACCAGAGCCCCATACTTGATCTGTGCCCCCAGGTGCAGGGGTGGGGCATCACTCATTGTGAGCTTACCTCAACATTGAGACCACCTGGGGACAGGGGAACTGAAGCAAAAGATTCCATACCACAGGCCGAAAGGGAGGTCAGTGTTACTTCCTTTAGCTGTTGTGTGGGTTCACCATGGTTAGCCAGGACGTGTGACTTCTGCTTCTTCTAGGAGTTGTTGATCAGAATGGCTTCAGGACGGTTTTACCTGTCCTGCATGCTGCTGGGGTCCCTGGGATCACTGTGCATCCTCTTCACCACCTACTGGATGCAGTACTGGCGTGGCGGCTTTGCCTGGGATGGCAGTGTGCACATGTTCAACTGGCACCCAGTGCTCATGGTCTCTGGCATGGTGGTACTCTATGGAGCTGGTGAGTAATGTGTTCACAGTGTGAGGGGCATGAGAGAGCCTAGGTCTGAGCAGGGCAGCACTTACCCTCTTCAAGAATGGTATTTTGGGGGGGTTGAGTTTGAGGCTATCATGGCAGGGTGTTTTGGGTTGTTCCTGGGACCAGCTATCATTAGGGAGAAGAAGTGGAAAGTGTAGGGACAGCTTCACAGATGGTCAGAGGCAGGGTCAGCGAAACTTTCTGTAAAGGACTGGCCATAATTTTTTCAGGCTTTGTAATATGTATTGCAGTTACTCAGCTCTGCCATTGTATCATGGGAACAGCCATGGAAAGCACATAAAACACACGAGTGTAACTGTGTCCCGATAAACTGTTGTTCCCAGAAGTAGGCAGCAGGCTGGATTTGGCCTGGTGCTGCACTTTGGCTCCTGCTCTAGAGAACAAGAAGTTGAAGCCTCTTGTGTTACAGTGGAGTCGAGGATCCATCTTTGCCCCATGCATTCGAATCTGTGCCTTGTAACATGGGAAAGGAACCCAGTCGTAGGATGGGAATGATGATAGCATTGGCAAAAGCTGTTTACCATGTATATGTCACACATTATCCTCCCTGGTTCTTGACTTTTTCTTAGGATGTGTATGTAGTGTGCATATGCATGTGCACATGTGTGTATGTGTGTGAAGGCTATAGGGCAAACTTGGGTATCAACCATTATTAAGCACCTTGCGCCTTTACATTTTTCTTTTTCTGTTTTTAATTTTTTTTTTTTTTTTGGTTTTTCCAGACAGGGTTTCTCTGTGTAGCTTTGCGCCTTTCCCGGAACTCGCTTTGTAGACCAGGCTGGCCTCGAACTCACAGAGATCCGCCTGCCTCTGCCTCCCTAGTGCTGGGATTAAAGGTGTGCGCCACCACCGCCAAACATCCACTTTGTTCTTAGAGCAAGTTCGTGAGGTGGACCCTGTAGTCATCTCCATTTTACAGAAGAGGAAGGAAACGGACTTAGAAAGAAGCCAAACACTTAAGAAGCAGATGCTAGGTTTGGACCTCTATGCCCGAGCTCTTTAGATTTTTACCTTTTGCTTTTTGTGGTGTTGGGAGTGGAACTGAACCCAGGGCTCTCCACATGATAGGCAGGTGCTTAGATGCACCGTCAGCCTTCATGCCTGGGTTCTTTTCCTTTTTTCCCCTAAGACACGGAGATCTGCCTGCCTCTGCCTCCTAAGTGCTGGGATTAAAGGCAAGTGCCAGCACCACCTAGCTGTGCCTAGATTCATATGTAGTCAACTTTGCCTGTATGGATGCAGTGTGATGAGACCATGGAGAGACAGTGGGTATCAGCCCACAAAGCTGCATTCAGGATTGAGACTACTCCCATGTTAACCGGCCCTTCTTGTCTTAGTTCCTGGCCACCTGCCTCCCACAAATGATGGGAAGGTGACAGGTGCTGAGCAGTCTTAGTTAGGGTTTCTATTACTGTGATACAACAGCATGACCAAAAGCAGCTTGTGGAGGAAAGGGTTTGTTTCACCTTATACTTTTAGTCCTCCATGAAGAGAAGTCAGGACAGGAACTGAAGCAGAAGCTATAGAGGAAAGTGACTTCCTGGGTTGTACCTCATGGCTTGTCCACCCTGCTTTCTTTCTTTCTTTTTTTCTTAATCTTTTTAATCTTTATTTTTATGTATATGGTTATTTTGCCTGCATGTATGTCTGTGCACTATGTGTATTCAGTGCCTACAGAGGCCAGAAGAGGGTGTGGATCCTTCTAGGACTGGAGTTACAGATGGCTGTGAACTGTCCTCAAGGTGCTGGGGATTGAACTCAGGTCCTGTAGAAGAGCAACCAGTGCTGTTAACCAATGATCCATCTCTCTATCTATGCTGTCTTATACCATCTAGGACCACCAGCCCAGGGATGGTATTACTTCTGGAGAGCTTGGCCCTCCCATACCAATGATTAATAAAGAAAATACCCTACCGACTTGCCCATAGGCAATCTGATGAGGGGGGATTTCTCAATTGAGATTCTCTTTTCTCAGATAACTAGCTTGTGTCAAGTTGACAAGAAACCAACCAGGACAGGGGTTGATGTCCTGACACTCACTTCTTCCTGTTGAGAGGCTGTGTAGGGCAACACCAGGGGGTGAGGGTGATGTGGCCAAGCCCTGGGACCGTTCTCTCCTGCAGCCTCGCTGGTGTACCGCCTGCCCTGGTCGTGGGTGGGGCCCAAACTGCCCTGGAAAGTTCTCCATGCGGCCCTGCACCTGCTGGCCTTCACCTTCACTGTTTTGGGGTTGGTTGCCGTCTTTCGGTTCCACAGCCATTCAAAAATCACACACCTCTACTCCCTGCATAGCTGGCTGGGCATCACCACCGTCATCCTCTTCGCCTTCCAGGTAGGTGCCCTCTGCCCTCTCCTTTTGAGTCCCTTTGGGCACCATGGGCTCTGGGTGTGGCTTCACTAGCCCTAGCTCCAAATATTCGTTCTGCCCTTTGCCTGGAGAGGGCCTCATATCCTGTAGACTCAGCTATTTAAGTGGCCGTGAGAGTTGGGGCTCCTACTCTTATCTTGTTCCTTACACCTGTTACACTGCCCATCTGTCCTCCTGACTCTGTCAACCCACATGGCATGCTGTAGCTAGAGTTTTCCTGCCTGGCCCACAGTCAGGACAAATCTCTCTCACCTGCCAGTCCCATAGCCACTCAGACCTGACCAAGTAAACACAGAGACTTATATTGGTTACAAACTGTATGGCCGTGGCAGGCTTCTTGCTAACTGTTCTTACAGCTTAAATTAATCCATTTCTATTAATCTATATCTTGCCACATGGCTCGTGGCTTACCGGTATCTTCACATGCTGTTTCTCATCATGGCGGCTGGCAGTGTCTCTCTGACTCAGCCTTCCACTTCCCAGCTTTATTCTCCTCCTTGTCCCACCTACACTTCCTGCCTAGCCAATGGCCAATCAGTGTTTTATTTATTGACTAATCAGCAACACATTTGCCATACAGAACATCCCACAGCAGCATGCTGACTCAATGCCCCTCTTTTCTGCTTTCTCCACTCTTCCCTCTTTGAACCAAAGCAGTTCTAAAAATGATTTCAGTATTCCAATGCCATTCCTTTGCTGGAATTGTTCATGAACCAGGACTGGCAGGAATTCAATGCTAACAAAGATGACAAGGTTTATTGAGTGTATTACTGCAAGGCCTTCACACACAAGTTACTAGATATTTTCACCCGCTTACTTGTGTAATAGAAACGGGCAGATCACAGTGAGGCATGGTGTGTGGTTGGGGCTGTGCATGGTGGGAATGTTTGAGTCAAAAAAAGAAGGGCCAGAGAACAATGGCCAGCAGGAGTGATAGCTCTGATATGGGGGTAGGTGGGAGAGTAGTAGATGGGTACAACTGTAGTCAACTATTCCCTTGTGTCCACAGTGGTCCATGGGCTTTGCCATCTTTCTCCTGCCCTGGGCATCTCAGTGGCTGCGAAGCCTCCTGAAACCTGTGCACGTCTTCTTTGGAGCCTGCATCCTTTCCCTATCCATCACGTCTGTTATTTCCGGCATCAATGAGAAGCTGTTCTTTGTCTTGTAAGTTCTAAGGGGCCTCTAACACTAAGGCATATGGAAGGGAGTAGGGGCTTCAGGAGATGCATCCTATAACCACAGGACTCAGCTATCAGAGGCCAGCCTCTGGGCTTGAGTCCATTCTGATCTCATGGAAGGTGACAGTCTTTAGGTTGCAATTGGTAACCTGGCAATACTTACTGAGCATCAAGTGATATAGCACCTACTGCTTGTCAGAAACTGCTCAAAGCACCTCACCTTTAATCCTCTTAAGCACCTACAACATCTGGTACTGTTGTCACAAGAGTGTAATGAGCTAGCCATGGTGGTGCCTGCCTTTAAAACTAGCACCACAGTGGGTCAGATCTCTGTGAGTTCAAGGCCTGCTTGGTCTATATAGTGAGTTCAAGCCAGGCAGGTCTCCACTGTGAGACTTTGTAAAAAAACTGTGTAGTGAGGCACAGAGTAACTTACCTAAGAGCACATAGCCAGTAAATGGCAGAAGTGGGAACTGAGTTAGGCAGTCTGCCTCCAGAGCCTGTCTGTCTGTCTGTCTCATCACTGTTGCCCTGGGTTCTGACGCAGTGTGGTAAAGTGAACAGCAAATGAGATTGGAAATCAGCCCTGGATTTAGATCTTGGTTGTCATATGTACTAATTATGTAAATGTGGGCAAGTTCATTTCACTAGGATCCTCATTTTCTCATGGGTAAAGCATTACAAAGTTCCTGCCTGCCATTATGGTAGGGACTTAGGAAGTATATTAATTCCAGGTCATAGGAATCCAGTCTCCTGCTAGGCAAAAAACCAACCAACCAAGCAAACAAACAAACAAAAAAGTTAGAACATTCTCTCAAAGGCCCATATTATTTTGTCATTTTTCAGGAAAAATGTCACCAAGCCCTACTCCAGCCTGCCTAGTGAGGCAGTCTTTGCCAACAGCACCGGGCTCTTGGTGGTGGCTTTTGGCCTACTGGTTCTCTATGTTCTTCTGGCTTCACCATGGAAGCGTCCAGACCCAGGAGCTCTGACTGACAGACAGGTATGGTTACTTGTCTCCCATTCTAGGTGGGGTAAGACCACATCTAGAGAAGGGCGCAGGAAGGACTTGCAGCTTGCTGAGAAGACTGACCCTGTAGCCTGGTGGGAAGCCAAGCAGTTTGAAGGTGGAGATTGAGTGGCAGACAGGGACTCTGGCATCAGTGCAGCCGAACCTGGAGGGGACTTCCTAGACTTCCCCTCCCCTGCAAGAGTCCTTGGCTTTGTGAGATGACCCGTGCGTGCGTGCGTGCGTGCGTGCGTGCGTGCGTGCGTGCGTGCGAGGGCTTTAGCCTGGTGGAGTTCTGCCAGCTCTGGCTAGAAGGAGGGGCGCTCAGCGACACATCAGGTGCTGAGGGCAGGGCTTGCCTGTTCTTGGCCACTGAGGCTTCTCGCAGATGTGGGAAACTGTGCTGTGAACCAGTCTCAGGGACTCGGGGGCTTCCCTGAAGATCTGGTGGCTTGGCTGGGTTCCCCCTGCAGGGTGAGGGTCTGTCTGAGCAGCTCAGGCCTGGTGAAGCTCCTGAAGCTCAGGGGCTCTTTCACGGTCACGTCTCTAATCCCTGTGCATCTTCCTTCTTTCCAGCCCCTGTTGCATGACAGGGAGTAAAGCGGGCAGGGCTCCCGGGAACAGTCGGCCGTGCAGTCTCTGCTCCCTCAGAAGCTCTTCTGTACTTGGGGCTCCTGGCTGGTTTCAGCAACAAATTTCTCTTGGGCCAGAGACCAAGCTTGCTACACCAGTTCCCAGCTCGCTCTCTCCAGCCATTTGCTGTCCATCTGCTTTTCTTGATGGCTTTGACTTGTTGGCATTTTTTCAAGGACCTCCTTGCCTTGGTCATTCATGTCTCTTGTGCTGGTATGCAGAATTTGGGCTGCTTTCTCCTCACCACTCCTAGGGATGTGGTAGAAACCAAAGCTGAGGCCCAAATGTAGTCCATACATGCAAGATATAAAGTCTGCTCTCTGTGGGAGCATTTGTCTCGTTAGGCAGGCTTCCTCTGCTCTATCTTGGATGTGCATTTGGGTGGGCGGAGCCGTTGGGAGATAACTAATGGGACAGTAGCAGCAGGCGAAGGCTCTGCAGTAGTCAGGTGCCGGTCCCTCTGAGCTACTCTGTTCACTTTGGGGCGCTGTGTTGCGTGTATTGTGACCATGTGGCTCCCCCTCTTCTAGTTGCTGCTTCAACTGCTGCCTGGATCCCGCCCTTTCCCTGTGACTTACATGCCTGCCCCCCTCAGGCAACCCTATGAGCCCTGGTAAACTGTTCTCCCAAGAACAGACAGCCTGACCCTAGAGCCCCAAGTGATGGGTAACAGAGGTTTCGGTGGCCTTCCTTTCTGTCCCCTTGTGGATATGTATGGGCTTTCCTGCCTCCTCTAGTCACGCTCTTCCCTGACAAGGCCCAGCCCACTATGAAACTGAAACCAGCATTATGAAGCAATTTGCTGGACAGAGTCCTGGGAGCCACTGCTGCCTTCAGAGGTGTTCCTTGTTGAGTACTGGGTGCTTCTGTCCCCACCCCCCATCCCCATCAAGGCCACCCAGCCTCCCTCCATGGTATGCCAGAGTGTGTGCTTTGATCTTCTCCTGAAGAGAAACTGGGTAGAGGGAGGAGTCTTGCCCCTCTCCTTTGTATTGGCCTGTGGCGCTTCATACCTTCTCAGATCAGATGGCCAGGTCCCCACTGCAGACCACTGTACTTAGCAGACCCGTAGGAGAGGAGTTGAGTTCCTGCACTCCCTGCAGATAGTGATCAGGCTGAACTTCAACCCTGCTGCCAGAAGTTGGCAGGAGGCCTGGCATGAACTTCCTGACCAAATGAAGCCTGCACACCATTGGTATCACTGCTGGGCACATTGGACATATCACCTCCCTCCCCTGGTTTTCTACTTCTTCATGAATCTGATTTTTATTAAATGTGTTTTTAAACATTAAAGGTGTCTTATTTTGTTCAGACCAGTCTTAAATAAAACCACTCATTTCTCATACTTTGGGAGGTTAGAAGTCCAAGGTGAAGGTGACAACACGGTCTGATGAGGGCCACTCCCCACTATCTTCGTACTGTGGCTTCACAAGTCGTTCCCATGCCCTTATAAATAAATGTATCCCATTCAGAAGGGTCCCACCCTCACCCCTAATCACTTACAAAGGCCCTACCTCTTTTTTTGTTGTTTTTTTGCTTTTTGGTTTTTTTTTTTTTGTTTTTTTTTTGGTTTTTCGAGACAGGGTTTCCCTGTGTAGCTTTGCGCCTTTCCTGGAACTCACTTGGTAGCCCAGGCTGGCCTCGAACTCACAGAGATCCGCCTGGCTCTGCCTCCCGAGTGCTGGGATTAAAGGCGTGCGCCACCACCGCCCGGCCTTTTTTGTTTTTAAATGTGTTTTTTTGGTGTGGGTGTTCATGCTGATCCGTGGAAAGAAATACAGAGACTTTTCCAGCTGCAGGGTGGATTTGTCTCTATGGCTGAACTGCTGTGCTGAGTAAAGGGCCCTTTATTGTTATAGAGTTCACACTTTTAGTACATCAATTCCATATACCAAAGTCTTTATCTAAGCCCCCACCCCCACCCCCACCCCGAGAGGGACAATGCCAAGTGCAAGTTCTCAGTAAAGAGTACCACAGTGAGCTGGCAGTGGTGGCACGCACCGTTTAATCCCAGCACTCGGGAGGCAGAGCCAGGCGGATCTCTGTGAGTTTGAGGCCAGCCTGGGCTACAAAGCAAGATCCAGGACAGGTACCAAAACTACACAGAGAAGCCCTGTCTTGAAAAAAACAAAAAACAGAAACAAAAACAAAAATCAACAAGAATACCACAGTGTTCTGAGTTGTTCTTAAACTAAGTTTGCATGGGCTTTGATCCCCTTGGAAAACTCTCAGATAAGACTTCAAACAGAAGGTACCAGAGATAGGAGGTAGCAGTCACAAAAGGCAGATCAAAGCTAGGTGCTAACACTCCAGAGTCAAACCAGGAATAGCTATGTGGGAATTCTCCCCACTTTTTTTTTTTTTTTTTTTTTGAGACAGTGTCTCACTATGGAGCCCTGGCTGTCCTGGAACTTGCTATGTAGACCAAGCTGGCCTCAAACTCACAGAGATCCTCTTGCCTCTGCTTCCTGGAGTGCTCAGACTAAAGGGTATGCCACCAGGCTAGGCTCAAGGCCCCACCTCTTAATTCCATCACATTAGGAATAAAAGTTTTAAGCATAGGAGTTCTGTTGAAACACAGAAGTCTTCTTTGCTGAAATGACGATATTGAGTTTTGGCACTTTACAAAGGTCTCAGGATAGGCTTGACTCTGACAGATGCAGAGAAGGGGCAACCAGAAATCCATGGTTGTATTTTTTTGAATTGCATGCTACTTAAATTTGTGTGGGTGTCCTTCATAGTGAATGTCTTTAGGACACACACTCCTTTCATTAGGAAAGGGGTGTTCCCTGCCTTAAAGTCTGGAAAACAAGACTCAAAAAGGAGTGGAGGTGGACAGGAAGTGGGGTGACCTGCTGCTGTCACTCTGCTGGGTGATGGCAGAGTTGGGATCCACAAGTCCTTGTTTGAGGCCAACCTTTTCCTCTCTGCTGGGCACATGTATCTGTGCATGCTGCCAGCCAGATCTGTTGCCAGGGCCTTCTGATGGGACAGACTGACAGAAGACCCTAGGCCCAGAGGCCAGAGAGTCCCAGGGCCTAATCTGAGAGCACAGATGATGAGGTCCCTTCTTAGGATGACTATGGATGGTGACGCAGTAGGAGGGGAGTGTGCCTGACACCAATGCTAACGATGTTCTGGTGACAGCACTAGAACACCAGACTGCCCAGGATCCTAATCTTCACCTGAGTCTTCACATCCTTGTGAGATGGTTACCATTCTGGGAAAAAAATCTTATTTTGTGTATGTAGGCACGCTCGTGCCACAGCACACGTGGAGGCCAAAAGACAACTTTACCTCCTGCCACCTAATGGGATCTGGTGATCAAATTCAAGTTGTTAGGCCTTCAGACTACTACCCACTGAGCCATCTTGTGGGCCTGAGATGGGTATCATTGAATTTTACAGATCTCAACTGGCCAAATGTGGGCATGAGTTCCCATAGCTGACTTAAAGCAGAACCAGCCTTTACATGGATATGACCTGCCAGTGCCTTGAATCACCTCTCTACAGTGAGGGTGTCATGCCTGGCGTGAGCTGTGTGTGCTGTCTCAGCACACATCAGGCTTTCCACTGGTCAAGGTATAGGCAATGATTGCTCTACAGCAGTGGGTCGTGATCCCTTTGGCAAACCTCTCACTCCAAAAATATTTACATTATGATTCAGAAGAGCAGAATTACAGTTATGAAGTAGCAATGAAAATAATTTTATGGTTGGGGTCACCACAATATGAGGAACTACATGAAAGGGTTGCAGCATTAAGAAGGTTGAGAACCGGGGGCTGGAGAGATGGCTCAGAGGTCAAGAGCACCGACTGCTCTTCCAGAGGACCTAAGTCCAATTCCCAGACCCACATGGTGGCTCACAACCATCTGTAATGAGATCTGGAACCCTCTCCTGTATACATAATAAATAAATAAATCTTTAAAAAAAGAAGGTTGAGAACCACTGCTCTAGAGAGATCTTGGGGCTGGTATGACTGCAGCTTCTCAACTATCCCAGAGCCTCAAAACACAGCAAATACATTTTTTTCTGGGGACCCAATGCCCGTGTAGTTTCTGAAGAATCGATAGCTGATCTGGTGCAGAGAAGAGCCTTTGTGCCAATTTCACGTGCACTGGTATGGTGTGTGCTAGGACCGGAAAGGGGAGTCCCCACCCACGGAACCAGCCCAGCCGAGCAGAACTCGTCTGGAGCACAGGTGATAAACTGCCTGCCAAGAGATGGGTCATGGTCACGGTAACCAGGGCTAAAGTCCCAAAGATGAGGCAGCAGCTTGTGGCTTCCATGGGTTTTATTAGCTTTCTTTCATACACTGGGTATGGGAGGCCTTCCTTCCAGAGGAAGAAGCCTTCCAGAGGAAGAGGCCTTCCAGAGGAAGAGGCCTTCCAGAGGAAGAGGCCTTCCAGAGGAAGAGGCCTGGAGTCTTGAAACCAAATGGGTACACCCAGTTAGAGGCTATGTTGTACTCAGGAAAAGCCTTATCACTGACATTCAGAGCTGCCTGGGGTGGGGTGAACATGACCTGAGGGACTCCTCTTCCCTGAGGAGGGAAAGGGCCGTGCTTGCTGGCAGAGCACGGGACCACCCAGCCAGACACTTGTTTATGTTCATGGAACAGTTCTGGCGGTGCGGTGGAGGATGTGCCGCTCCATGCAGAGGATGGATGCTAGGGTGAGCGAGGGGGAAGGCAAGAGGAAGTAAGGGACAGGGGGCGGAGCTGAGGAGAAGAGGCAGTCATGCTTTCTGTGTCTGTAAGACCTCCAGGATGGCACGGAAGACGGCGGCCACTGCCACCGCTCCGGGGTCCGGCTGATCTAGTCGTGCAGAGCTGATGTAACTAGCTCTTCCAGCACCAGCTTCCATGTTCTTGGTGGCCTCGGCTGCAGCTTCAGCACTCTGAGGAAGTGTGGGAGTAGGCTTAAGAACATGACACCAGGCCTTTCCTTTCCCACTGGGTCCTGAAAATCAGACCCTTGTCCTGTTTGTCAGCAATCTCTGTGCCATCCCTCAGTGGAAAGGTCACCTCTTCTCTACTTCGAGCAAGGAATGGGATTCCTATTTGCTGAGCCTCAGCCCAGGTACTAGACTAGGCTCAATGTATCTCCCTAGACATAAAACACTTGGAGTTAGGTGTTCATTCCTAATTTACACAGGTGGAAATGAAGGTGGAAAAAGCCATTAACTTGCCTAAAGCCATCTAGAAGTTGAAGCTTGGTGCTTCCTTGATTGTCTAGTGGAGCCTCACTCACCTTGACTGCTTTAGTCAGGACTGGGAGGAGACTTGTTCCTGGGCTTTTCCAGGCTTGGAACTCCTGTCCTGCTGCCCACAGAGAATCCAGCTGGACAAGGTCAGAGAGAGGGGGGTTGAGAAGAAGTCCTGCCACTGAGGATAGCTATAGGGTTTGTGGGCTCAAAGGGGCAAGGGGAGCTACACCCTGAGTACACACCATTGTCCTGTCTCCTGGTGCAGCCTTTCCATACCTGAAAGAATGAGCAAGGTGTGAGGACAGGGCCTGGCTGGGAGCAGGTAGCATCTACCAACCACCTCCCCAGCACACCCCTGGTGTTAAGACACAGGGCCCTTGCTCACCTCTGCATGGCCTCCAGGCCAGCATCCATGGCAGCAGACCAGGCTGAAAGGTCAGTCTTGGCTTTAAGAGGCTGGGCAGCTGCAGTCAGGAACAGGCCATAGAGCTGAGGAGGACCAGAATGCTGAGTACATGGAGCTGGCCAGCACCCAGGAAAACCTGCATCCTTCCCCATCAGTCTGTCCTTTCTACTCACCACCCCAGATGAGCCTCCCATCTTCTCCAGCAGCAGAACAGACACTTTGGAGAGTACCTGGGCAGGGTTGGCTAAAGCTGGGTCCTCCTTTAGCCAGCCCTGGATGGCTGCAAGTAGAGAGGCAGGTGGCCCTTCAGAGATGCTACCCACTTCCTTTTCTCCCCCTGGTCTCTGCTAGTGTTTTCCTGGTTGGTCTTATTTACTGAGAGATGTGCTTTCTGTCTTTCTTTTTTCTCTTTTCTTTCCCATTATCCTAGGTTGGCCTGGAAATCCTCATGAACCACCATTGCCTGACTTTGTGCATTTCTGTAATCAGAAGACAGGAGTGGTACTTGGCTTGAGGTAGATGCTGAATGCATCTATCGATTGATCAATTGATCAATCAACCGACCGACCAACCCACCAACCTACCTATCTCTATCTATCTTTCTATCTATGTATCTATCTATCTATCTATCGGTTTTTCGAGGAGACAGGGTTTCTCTGTGTAGCCCTGGCTGTCCTGG